AAAATTGCGCCCGTATCAGGCCGAACAATCTGATATTATACTAGGCACCAGTAATGAAAAAAGTCAATTAGAGATGTCGGAGTGAAATGATGTGACCTATACCATTCGAAACCTCACGAAATGAAATTTCAACACCGCAAGTTTCACCTTTTTTGCAGCAAAATTGCGCCCGTACCAGGCCGAACAATCTGATATTATACTAGGCACCAGTAATGAAAAAAAGTCAATTAGAGATGTCGGAGTGAAATGATGTGACCTATACCATTCGAAACCTCACGAAATGAAATTTCAACACCGCAAGTTTCACCTTTTTTGCAGCAAAATTGCGCCCGTATCAGGCCGAACAATCTGATATTATACTAGGCACCAGTAATGAAAAAAGTCAATTAGAGATGTCGGAGTGAAATGATGTGACCTATACCATTCGAAACCTCACGAAATGAAATTCCAACACCGCAAGTTTCACCTTTTTTGCAGCAAAATTGCGCCCGTACCAGGCCGAACAATCTGATATTATACTAGGCACCAGTAATGAAAAAAAGTCAATTAGAGATGTCGGAGTGAAATGATGTGACCTATACCATTCGAAACCTCACGAAATGAAATTTCAACACCGCAAGTTTCACCTTTTTTGCAGCAAAATTGCGCCCGTACCAGGCCGAACAATCTGATATTATACTAGGCACCAGTAATGAAAAAAAGTCAATTAGAGATGTCGGAGTGAAATGATGTGACCTATACCATACGAAACCTCACGAAATGAAATTTTAACACCGCAAGTTTCACCTTTTTTGCAGCAAAATTGCACCCGTACCAGGCCGAACAATCTGATATTATACTAGGCACCAGTAATGAAAAAAAGTCAATTAGAGATGTCGGAGTGAAATGATGTGACCTATACCATACGAAACCTCACGAAATGAAATTTTAACACCGCAAGTTTCACCTTTTTTGCAGCAAAATTGCACCCGTACCAGGCCGAACAATCTGATATTATACTAGGCACCAGTAATGAAAAAAAGTCAATTAGAGATGTCGGAGTGAAATGATGTGACCTATACCATACGAAACCTCACGAAATGAAATTTTAACACCGCAAGTTTCACCTTTTTTGTAGCAAAATTGCACCCGTACCAGGCCGAACAATCTGATATTATACTAGGCACCAGTAATGAAAAAAAGTCAATTAGAGATGTCGGAGTGAAATGATGTGACCTATACCATTCGAAACCTCACGAAATGAAATTTCAACACCGCAAGTTTCACCTTTTTTTCAGCACAATTGCGCCCGTATCAGGCCGAACAATCTGATATTATACTAGGCACCAGTAATGAAAAAAAGTCAATTAGAGATGTCGGAGTGAAATGATGTGACCTATACCATTCGAAACCTCACGAAATGAAATTTCAACACCGCAAGTTTCACCTTTTTTGCAGCAAAATTGCGCCCGTACCAGGCCGAACAATCTGATATTATACTAGGCACCAGTAATGAAAAAAAGTCAATTAGAGATGTCGGAGTGAAATGATGTGACCTATACCATTCGAAACCTCACGAAATGAAATTTCAACACCGCAAGTTTCACCTTTTTTGCAGCAAAATTGCGCCCGTATCAGGCCGAACAATCTGATATTATACTAGGCACCAGTAATGAAAAAAGTCAATTAGAGATGTCGGAGTGAAATGATGTGACCTATACCATTCGAAACCTCACGAAATGAAATTTCAACACCGCAAGTTTCACCTTTTTTGCAGCAAAATTGCGCCCGTACCAGGCCGAACAATCTGATATTATACTAGGCACCAGTAATGAAAAAAGTCAATTAGAGATGTCGGAGTGAAATGATGTGACCTATACCATTCGAAACCTCACGAAATGAAATTTCAACACCGCAAGTTTCACCTTTTTTGCAGCAAAATTGCGCCCGTACCAGGCCGAACAATCTGATATTATACTAGGCACCAGTAATGAAAAAAAGTCAATTAGAGATGTCGGAGTGAAATGATGTGACCTATACCATACGAAACCTCACGAAATGAAATTTTAACACCGCAAGTTTCACCTTTTTTGCAGCAAAATTGCGCCCGTACCAGGCCGAACAATCTGATATTATACTAGGCACCAGTAATGAAAAAAAGTCAATTAGAGATGTCGGAGTGAAATGATGTGACCTATACCATACGAAACCTCACGAAATGAAATTTTAACACCGCAAGTTTCACCTTTTTTGCAGCAAAATTGCGCCCGTACCAGGCCGAACAATCTGATATTATACTAGGCACCAGTAATGAAAAAAAGTCAATTAGAGATGTCGGAGTGAAATGATGTGACCTATACCATACGAAACCTCACGAAATGAAATTTTAACACCGCAAGTTTCACCTTTTTTGCAGCAAAATTGCACCCGTACCAGGCCGAACAATCTGATATTATACTAGGCACCAGTAATGAAAAAAAGTCAATTAGAGATGTCGGAGTGAAATGATGTGACCTATACCATACGAAACCTCACGAAATGAAATTTTAACACCGCAAGTTTCACCTTTTTTGCAGCAAAATTGCGCCCGTACCAGGCCGAATAATCTGATATTATACTAGGCACCAGTAATGAAAAAAAGTCAATTAGAGATGTCGGAGTGAAATGATGTGACCTATACCATACGAAACCTCACGAAATGAAATTTTAACACCGCAAGTTTCACCTTTTTTGCAGCAAAATTGCACCCGTACCAGGCCGAACAATCTGATATTATACTAGGCACCAGTAATGAAAAAAAGTCAATTAGAGATGTCGGAGTGAAATGATGTGACCTATACCATGCGAAACCTCACGAAATGAAATTTTAACACCGCAAGTTTCACCTTTTTTGCAGCAAAATTGCGCCCGTACCAGGCCGAACAATCTGATATTATACAAGGCACCAGTAATGAAAAAAAGTCAATTAGAGATGTCGGAGTGAAATGATGTGACCTATACCATACGAAACCTCACGAAATGAAATTTTAACACCGCAAGTTTCACCTTTTTTGCAGCAAAATTGCGCCCGTACCAGGCCGAACAATCTGATATTATACTAGGCACCAGTAATGAAAAAAAGTCAATTAGAGATGTCGGAGTGAAATGATGTGACCTATACCATACGAAACCTCACGAAATGAAATTTTAACACCGCAAGTTTCACCTTTTTTGCAGCAAAATTGCGCCCGTACCAGGCCGAACAATCTGATATTATACTAGGCACCAGTAATGAAAAAAAGTCAATTAGAGATGTCGGAGTGAAATGATGTGACCTATACCATACGAAACCTCACGAAATGAAATTTTAACACCGCAAGTTTCACCTTTTTTGCAGCAAAATTGCGCCCGTACCAGGCCGAACAATCTGATATTATACAAGGCACCAGTAATGAAAAAAAGTCAATTAGAGATGTCGGAGTGAAATGATGTGACCTATACCATACGAAACCTCACGAAATGAAATTTTAACACCGCAAGTTTCACCTTTTTTGCAGCAAAATTGCACCCGTACCAGGCCGAACAATCTGATATTATACTAGGCACCAGTAATGAAAAAAAGTCAATTAGAGATGTCGGAGTGAAATGATGTGACCTATACCATACGAAACCTCACGAAATGAAATTTTAACACCGCAAGTTTCACCTTTTTTGCAGCAAAATTGCGCCCGTACCAGGCCGAACAATCTGATATTATACTAGGCACCAGTAATGAAAAAAAGTCAATTAGAGATGTCGGAGTGAAATGATGTGACCTATACCATACGAAACCTCACGAAATGAAATTTTAACACCGCAAGTTTCACCTTTTTTGCAGCAAAATTGCACCCGTACCAGGCCGAACAATCTGATATTATACTAGGCACCAGTAATGAAAAAAAGTCAATTAGAGATGTCGGAGTGAAATGATGTGACCTATACCATACGAAACCTCACGAAATGAAATTTTAACACCG